GTTTCTTATATTAGTTTGCCAGCGTAGCTGCCCGAGAACTTTCTACTAGACCTAATATATTTTGTGCGTGCATCATCAGTCTGCTTCACGCTTCAATTCTGGTAGTAATAGTGAAATGCTTCAAAGTGTTTCAATTGCATCAACTACAAATGAAACTGGATAATTTTGATTACTGTTTCCGATATGTCACACTCGTTCCATAGGATTTCTTAGTTTCACCTGTCTTGTTTAGATTCCAAAAATTTTTCGCTATTATCATTTGATACAAGAATTACTAATATAAAATGGGTTTTCGTTTTCAGAGGAATTCACAAGAGGGAAACTCTAAAGAATGGGGACCAATGGGAACTCAAAAGGTTAGTAACGATTGTCAGATTATCTCATGTAACGTTAAGATTTGATTTCGAACCAATATTATTTCGAAACGCTTGAGGCGAAGATTAATTAACACGCAAGTGAGACCAAAACAATGCATGGTATCGGATGAGAATTTTTTTCGTGATCAGGCGCTACTTCGTTGATCGGATTGTGGACCCGCAGTATAAGGTGTGCCGGGCTGTTCAGATAAAAAGGGAATATTCTCAAAAATTCATTCTCTCATTGTAAACAGCACAATTTTTTTCCAGATTTGCGCATTGTAAGTGCCAATTACAGATGGTTATTTCGGAGATGAGGGACGTTTAACAATACAGCTTTACCTGGATGCATTCAGCTTATACTGAGACTCATCCGAGTGCGATGATGATTTCAGGTGCGTCAGGTTCCGCCGTGGGTATTGGAAGGTGAAGCGTACTANGTTGAATGGAACAGATCAACGCATCGGCACTACCGTAATTGTTCATTGTACCATTTAGTTAGTGGATTCATAGAAATGCTTTAATTAAGTTCATTATACAAATATGTGTATGTGAATATTATACTTCAGATGGTTAATAAATCATATATGTTAATATTGACATTTGCAATTAGCAACACAACATTCGATTGATTTTTACCAATCGAATAAGAAAGAATAAATGACACTTCACATCATCACCGTTATCATAATTTCACACGTGTTATGAGTCTGAATTTTACCTAGTTATCAAAATTCGAACGCCTCATTGTGAACTCTAACCTCATATGTGAATGAGAACGCTTTCTATCGAACAATGGGTCAATGTGAAGCAACTGAAGGGCTAGAAGCATTATACTCATATGCATGAATCAGTTTCATTCAGGCAAATGAAGATGGCTAGTTGTTCAATAAATCCCGAGAGAAAGGTAGGCAGATCACTGATGAAAATACCCGAAAACACCATCGTCTTCATGTCTCAACTTGCACAAAATCCTTCTACGGGTTCGAGAGTAATATCGCATAGCAGCATAGCAAAAATGTTGACCCATTTTGAATTATAAAGTAATGAACAGTTGGACTAACAACCATTTAGATTGGCCAATGCTGATTCAGTAGTGTATTACTGAATCGACAAATCAAAACGGTTTGATATTGCAGCGTAATTACTGCAGCACGCAAAAACACATTCAGGAATAATGGTATTTATTTGTGAATTGTACACTTTTTGATTTTCAAATTGTGCATTGTATATTTACAAATTGATTCGATAACGGCATACGAGTAACATTCTGACACAACAACAAAGTTGAATACAACCAACATAAATGGCAATTTCACGATGTAATTTCTCATCGCCTTCGAGAAGAACAAGTCAATCTCAATTTCCGCATTTCTGAATAGATGCAGCATCTAATCAAGAACCATATGAGAAGCTTAATTTCTTCATGGACGAACAACTAACTTGTCAGACCTGATCAGATTTGAGTAAACGATTTTAGATGGATGAAACGATTGAAAAGTGGAGCAGCTCCAGATAATCAAAGTAGAACTGGACAAATATTCGAGAAACAATGACATGTGCCAATGTCAGATAAAGAAAAT